GACCTTTAAAGGTCCCTTCCAATCAAAACCATTTCATCATAGGATCATTCCTCTGAAGAGAAGCACAACTTAGTCATGACCTTAAATACATCCAAGAGAATAGATTCTGTTTACAGTGATGCCAGTGGCCTTCCTGTGTCACAGTCTGATGGTCAAAGGACTGCTTCGAAGATGGAGACCTGGACTGCAGGTTCTTCTCAATCTGAATCACCTGAACACTTTCATTCAACTTCCCAGGGTGCCCTATTTTATTGCATGGGGATATTCTGGATGAGAGGGAGAGATAACAGGTGAAGGGAAGATTCACCCTAGTCTGGCAATCAGAGTTGATGGGGTAGGTTATTTGGTCCCTGCACCCATACTCCTTTTTATATTTTGATCAATAATGGTCTAATTTAAAAAGTGCAGAGGATCCAGGTAGGCAGGAAAGGAAGTCCTTGCTCTGCCTCCTTCTTCATTAGAGGCAAGATCTCTCTCGACTGTCCTGGACTATGGCACTCAGGTCTCTGGCTACACACCAGCCCCTGTTCACTGCCGTCCCTCCCTCCCAGCTGCCCTGGGCTGCAGTGCTTTATGTAGTCTCATAGCATGGGTTCAACTCCTTTTGCAGAATCAAGTGTTTTCTTGGGGTTTAAATGTTCAGTAATTGTAATAAGTACTCTAAATGCTGTTTTCTGTCTTAGGAGCCATAACGAGCAGTCTCGTAACAACTGAAGAGTCCTGTAAGTGTGAGGCCATAGCTGCTCTCCAGGACTCAGTCACCTCACGCCTTGAAGCTCTGTCCACAAAATATATCCTTTCTCTTACTTGAGCTCCTGCATTCAGCACTTTACTGGTGTTTTAGAGGTAGCTGTTTTGATATAAACCAGGGAAGAAATATCCCTCAAAAGAGAAAGCATTTTCTGGGTGGTTTTAGAAAAGTTATGAAAAAAAATCTTGGTTGTTGCAAACACCACTCTGTTTTCATGTTTCACTGAAGAGAGTATCACAATACAGATATAACAAATGCATCCCCTAGATTACATATCCCATGTTGAACATCAAGCACTGATCTATTTATAATTCTTCCAGATGACTTTTACTGTTACAGCAAATGCTCAGTTTTGGGCACTGCTATTATGTCCCAAAACTTTAGAGACAACTTTACAGGCAGTGTGACAAGAGTCCCCTTTAGTGTGCTATTCCTTTGCATCCCACCTCCACAGGCAGGCACTGTCCCAAGTGATTTTCATGCACCTTCTTTTCTGTGAAAATGTGTGAGCCTATTAATAACCAGCTCCTGGGATACAGGAAAATGGGAGAGCTGCAGTGCAGGGTGCCAAGAAATGTGGTCAGCTCCCAGATTCAACATTCCACAAACATGTGGGAGAAAAAAAGCGGTGAACTCTGTGGTACAACAGCAAACATGAATACTGGAATAAATGCCCTCAGTTGGCATGGCAGCAACTAATAACAGGAATTTTAAGTTGGACAAGCTGTGGTCCATCACAGACCATAATTTTTAAAGTGAGAGGGGTTGGTCAGTTACAATTCACCACAGATTGTGGCAAATTTTTCCTTGCTGGAAATTTTTGAGACTGCATGTTTTCTTTTTCTGTACAAGGTGCTCTTGTTCGAAGAGGGATTGATTTACAGGAGTGTTATGTCAGTGATAGTCATCCTGATCCCTGGGGCTTCAAAGAAGATTGGGCCGTTTAGGATTAATCAGAGAAGGAGAGCAAACTAGTAAGTTTTAGACATGAACTCATGATTTAGACAGATAAAAGAATTTTTCAGTTTGCCAAAGTTTCTGAAAGTCAAATGAAAACTTCTGCCAAGGACAAAAGACTTTCCCAGAGCTTGAATAAATTCAAAGTTATTTTTATGAGATCTAATTGCAAATCCCTCTTTTTGCACTGTGTTTGGAATTCAGTTTATCTGCCTGGAAAAATCAAAGGGAAGACTGATTTTTTTTTTTTTTATTATAATATATGATTCTGGGAATCTAAGTAGTTTAAAGTGAACAGTAAGATAATTAAACCTGTAATGTCATCTTAGTAATAGTGTGTCCTTCAGAAATCAATTTTTCTGCCTTAAGAGCTAATGCTAAGCAAAAAAATGCGATGGTTTCAAGGTAGGATTTTCCTTAATTAAAAAGAATTGATGCTTCCTTTCAGAGCTTTTCTTTGGTAGGTAGGTCATTTGTATCCCTAGCATCCTTTCAAGGCAACCTGGAAAACACAGCACAGACAATCATCTGCTGCTTCTCAGCCCTGAATGTCACTTGATGCAATTCCTTCTAAGAAGTGAGGGTTGTTGAGATCATTTGGGAAGATGCCAGACTTTGATAGGTCTCTCAAATGTTTTGAAATCTGTGGTTCAAGCAGGTATTGACCTCACCTAGAAAACAGATTGTGTGTTGAAATGTGTGTTGAAAATGAAGCGATGAGAAAGATTAAAAATAAAACAAACCCTATAGCCATCTATTCTATTGCCCTTAACAACTGGCCACTAGATGAAGTATCTGAGAAGCTGCGGGCGTACCAAGACAGACAGCAGGTTGTCTGAGTTATCCTTCTGCTTGATTTTAAAATAATCTTTCAGAATCAAACCTTTTTGTAGTTTTCGGCTTTACTGTGTTGCACAACTTACAAATCAGGATTTGGTTTGTTCCTATTGACAAGTGCCAAGAAGACTTCACGAAGAAAAGTCTTGAAAACACAGTGACCCTGAGGGTCTTCATGTACAGTCACTTTATAGCCATAAAGCTACACCTGCTGTGCCTCAGTTTGTACTGCAAGTAGTGCAGCAGGTACTGCTTTTCTGCAGGAACTGCGTTTTTTATTCTCTTACTTCAAAGTAAATACAGAAAAAAAGAATGCATACAATATATCACATTATATAAAACTGTGTAATGGCAAGACAGAGAGAAAAAAAATGTGCCTATGTCTTCTGTCTGTTAAATGGGAAAGTAAATTGAGATCTTGTAACTTATTTTAATAAAATACAATATGATATGCACACTGATGTTGGAAGTGGTTTTGTATACAGCTTAAAGGATGTGTGTTATGAAGTAAAGGGTTTAAAAAAAACCAAAGAAACAAAGCCTCAAAGATAAAGGAGGCATAAGTGGAAGAAATTCACATAATGAAACAGGATACTATCCCCAAGTCACATAGTTGGAAAAAGAAGCATTTGATTTTAAAACCTGCAAGTACTTATTAATATAGGTAAGAGGTTTAACAGTATTTTCAAGCATTAAAAATGTTGTTTAACATTCAGAATAGTAACAGATATCCTCCAATATAAGGTTTTTATCCTGCAAGATTTACTTAGGTTATTAGTCAATCATTCTTGTCATACCAAGGGCTTTACTGAAATTACTTGTGTCTATTGTGCTTGTAGAAGAAAACACACAAGCTAACAATTAAAAAAATTAATTGTGAAAGGAATCTACTAGTTTTGTATACTGGCATTTATAACAATCCAAACTCTTTAGAATTTATATTTAAATTTAGAGTCAAAACTATGATTAAGTTTTTTTAATGGAAAAATTCAAACATATTTTGTAGAGCCTTGCAATGTAATTACATAAAATATTATGTCTGGTAGCTGATTTGCCAAGAATATATTAACAACTTCTGTGCATATTTAATACCCCGCACATAATAGATACAAACAAGTCCAGTTATGTTCACTGCACATGGGAGTGAGACTTCAGGTATGTCTATACAGTAATGTCAAATTGGAATATAACACTAAATAGCACAAGTGAACAGTTTCAGCAAGGGCTAAAAACCAAACTGTAAACTGTCCAAGGATGCTGGATTGGACTGTGGTTGATATTTTGTGATGTGTCCCCACTGGTATTAATTTGATGTAGTTCAATTAGAGTGGGACAACCTGGCTATGCTACAGCTGCTTCCTCAAAGTGCTGTGTATGCATATTTTTTTCTGTAAGTCATGGAGGTTTATATCCAGCACTTTGCTTGCTTTCATGTCCTCTGCTTAGACACAGGTATTATACAGGGATTTATAGGGCCAGAAGTATGCCTTGGCCTCTGTAATTGGTAAGAATAAACAAGTTGTAAATCTAATGCAAGACTTTATGACTTTTTGGCAATTTAAAGTGGATGACATCAGTCCCATTTACACTAAGGCCAGTTGTCAGATGAGATGTAAAATTTTATACCATAGTGGAAAATTGTCCTGGAGGCCAGATGTGTCTTGCAAGCTGTCAGCTGGGCACCTTTGTTTCATGCACTGATATTCATAACTCCATTTTATGTTACAAATAATAGTATTTACACTGAGCAATTATCTGTCTCGTTTTGTGAGTACTAGATAGAATTCTAAGGTGATAAAACCAAATTTTTTTTTTAAATAGGACATACTATTGTCTAGAAAAATGGGATTACTGTATGTGCCACAAGCCAATAATTACACACTAAAGAGAGACATTGATTATTTAGATAGATACAGACTCTCTTAGATACATTTAGATATGAGGAACAAATTCTTTACTGGGAGGGTGGTGAGGCACTGGCTCAGGTTGCCCAGAGAAGCTGTGGCTGCCCCATCCCTGGAAGTGCTCAAGGCCAGGTTGGATGTGGCTCTGAGCAACCTGGTCTAGGGGAAGGTGTCCCTGCCCATGGCATGGGGACTGGAACTTTAAGGTCCTTTCCAACCATTTGTGATTCTACGTTGATTAAAGTTACACCACAAACACCGTGTGCGCAGAACTTGGAGTTCACAAGGTTGGCGATTTTTCTTCATGCAGAAGCAGAGTGACACTTTATTGACACGTAACAAAGCCGAGTTCTCCCGTCAACGGCTGTGCCGCGCAGTGAGCCACGGCTGATCCCCACGGCTTGGCCGGCCCGGCCCCTCATAGCCCCGCACGGCCCCTCACGGCCCCCCGGCCCCTCACGGCCCCGCCCCGGAGGGTCCCGTTCGCGGCACCGGGGCGGGCACATCCCGGTAATGGCGCCCGTCCGATCCGCTCCCCTCCGGAAGCGGCGCCATTTCCGCACCCGTTGCCAGGGAGACGCGGCGGCTTCGCTGCCGTGAGGAGCGGCCCGGGCCCGCTCCCTTTTCTCCGCCGGGATGTTCATCTACCTGTGCAAGAAGGTGCTGCTGGGGTGCGGGGATTACGCGGGGGGCGGACGGCTCTGGGGGAGAGGGAGATCCCCGGTCCCGCTCCCCGCCTCAGCCGGGAGCTCCTCGGGATCGGGAGCCGGAGCACTGAGGGACCCTCGGGGTCTCTCCCGCTGCGGGCCGTCTGGTCCCGGTGCTGCGCTTCCCAGAGCGCTGCCCTGCTCTGTCCCCCCGGCTCCCTCGGCCTGGGACTGGGGATTGGGGTTTGGTCTCCAGTGTTCCATCTGCTCCCCCGGGAGACTTTGGACACGGCTGGAGACCAAAGCCCTGTGCTCTGTGTGACCCCCCTCTCCTGTTGTGTCAGCACACCCTTGAAGATGTCCTGATTATATTATTTACTGTTATTTATTGTTAGACTGCTCGAGTGTGGCACAGCTCTTCGATCTCTTTTTGCGTGTACTGCTCTGTTGATAGAAATAAATTTGTCTCACGTGCTATCGTAGGTGTCTGAGGTGTTCAAGTAGAGTATGTGAAATAAAACGTGACTCTTGCAACTGTGTAGAGATCCAAAGGACTTCTTTTTCAGATCGCAATTCCCGGTAATGTTCGCCTAAAATGTATTTCCTGGAATAAGAATCAAGGTTTCATAGCGTGTGGTGGAGAGGATGGATTGCTGAAAGTTCTAAAATTAGAAACACAAACAGGTAAATTAGGGGTTTTAATTTTTTAAAATTTTTTAAAATTTTTTTTTAAAAGAACAACACCCATCACACTTTAGAAAGCATAACTTCTTGCAGAGGTTACTTTTTTGATATGGCATGTGTTTTAAATCTGTACCTGGCTATTTACATATTTGCACTAACATCATATACTTTCATTAATTTGAACACAGTTTTTCTGCAGCTGGCCTTACATGATGCATTTATAATTTGCCTGTTATATCTGCTGATGTTTTCTTCAGTGCTTCTGCTTCTTTTTTTAGGGCATATATTTCATTCTTGTTCTTTTTGTGCAGGCTTTCCCTTTTTTTTGGAACTTTTTTCATGATTTCTTGATTTTTGTTTGAATGCTCTGTCTGCCATCTTAGTAATTTCAGGGAGAAGGCTGTGTATTTGCATTTAAATAAATATGTTCTAAAAAAAGTAAAATCTTCTTTCAAAGTTTTTGAAACCTTTTTTTGAATGTAACAAAATGTGATAGCCACAGCTGTTGTTGCAGGGGATTTTATTTATTTATTTATTTATTTATTTATTTATTTTTCCCCTGAACCCTGCTAGACCATAAAGCATATATCAGTTTGGATGAGAGATGTAAATAGGGAACTCATTGAGATAATGGGCAGGAAATTCATCCTGCAGTTACTATTTACATACTTTTAGGTGATTTATTGATTAAATAGTGATTAGAGGTGCAGTTTTCATAGAGACACAGTAATATGTATGCTTTGTTAGGTTTATTTTTATATGCTTTTTGTTATTTCTAGATGAAGCAAAAATAAAGGGACTGGCAGCTCCTAGCAATGTTTCTGTGAATCAAACTCTTGAAGGTCACAGTGGTAAGTGTATTTGGGCATTTAATCTACCTTTGTTTTGAATTAAAAGATAAAAGATAGAAGATAATAGAGTAGTTTTGGTATAACTTTTTACTGTAAGCCTGAAATAAAGGTGAGCAGTACTCGATAGGGTATGTAACAACTTGGCTGTCAATTTTTACCAAGTTATCTAATGAAAGACTCTCAGTCAGTATTTCATGATCTGTAAGTGAATCACTGGTTGAGAATCAAACTGATGCAGCCTTCCCTGGGCTCTCCTGGCTGATTTTGTATGTGTGGAGCAGAGTGCATCCTGCTCAGAAAAATCTCTGCTCTGCTTGGTATGATTTCCAATTTGCTTATGGATTTTGCAAGTTTAAGTCTGAACTTTGACATGATTGTGTTTTGTATTACCTCAGTTTTGCTTTTTCCAAATTATTTGATCCCTGTTCATCATCTTGAGAAGAAAATATTGATTTCTGTGTAAGTGGCTGATGCTGTTGTATGTGTTATATTACAATGGACTTTTGTTGTTGTTGCTTTTGTTTTTTTTTAAATTGTGCAGTGTTACTGGTATAGTAGTTGTCTCTGACTTCAGCAAGACTAATCTGGAAGTGCTGCTCGGTTGCGTGGGACAGGAATACATTTTTAAGTATTTACATAAAAGATCACAATATGTTTGCTTCGGTACATTTGCTCACACACTGCCTTGGTAGGTGACAGATAAAGAATGCTTTATGGCAGAAAAGGTAAACTGATGGGCAGTTGATGCTGGAATTGATGAATTAAAAAAAAAAAAAAGAACAAATGAACAGTTTTCTGTGACACTGTATATATAAAGTTATAAATTTTGTATGATAGGGTAGAATCTGAAATGACACTAAAAGCCTTAAGTATTTTTTTCTAGTGATTCATATGTAGATAAGTCCATTTGGTTTGTTTTTATAGTGTCTGTGAGATTTGCCTATATATGGTAACTTCACATTTTCTTCTAAAGAAATCAAAATTAGTTTCAGTAAACCTTACCTCTGTCTTAAATATATCTTCATTTTCCCTTTATTGATGAATTACAGAATGTGTACATGCTTAAACTGCAGTGTAGTATGCAAACAAAGTTTATCCCATGGACAATGGAATACGAAGAGAATGCTAAAATCCTTGCATTATTTGGAGAAATTGACTTTTTATGAGAATTTGCATTTGAAACCTGCCAAGAGTCAGGTTATTTTAAGGGCCTTATTTAAATAGGATTGGAACAAATAAATTGTGAGGAATTGATTTAGAGGATACTTTGGATGTTTTCGATTCTGAAATAGATCACTATTACCTTAAAAACCCCTGAAATTTGGGATATCTGTGATTGTGTCTGTTGATAAAATTCATGAATGAAATACTGAAAAATGGAAAGGATACATAGAAAATGGGTGACTAACAGTAAGGGCATGAAAAAGCATGATGCAACTTCATATTCGGTATGAAACTGATGAAATACGTTTTGAAGATGATTCAAGTCAACTCAAATATTTATGAGTAGGATCCCATATGATATTTGAGGGTCTGACGGAGTTGTGTGTGGAGTGCTCTTGGTAATTGTGAGGGAGATTTTATTTTAAAAGTGCAGCACTCGTGAGGATCAAACTACTATGAGGAAGAAAATCCCACAAATTCCTATGCTCCAAATGAGCAGAATTTTGAAAGTCAAAGTTAAATCTCTAAAAAGCTTCAGATTGACTAAGTTGGATATGGTGGTTTTTGTTAACTTACTTAAGTAATGTCATTTAAAAACTTGTATCACTTTCTAGGTTTTGTGCAGGTTGTGACATGGAATGAACAGTATCAAAAACTGACTACCAGTGATCAAAACGGCCTCATCATTGTGTGGATGCTATACAAAGGTATTCTGCAGGATAAACTTGAGATGGGATAATATTCCATGTTGTGAGAAGTCTTTTTCTTTTTTTTTAAACCCCCAGCAATTTTTACAATTCTTTTTCAGAGTTTTTATTTTTCAGATTGTAAAGCTCAAAATAGTTTTAAAACAATTCCTGGGTTTTTACTGTAATACTTGTCTACATTTTTTATAGCGTAGTCACATGTGAAAAGGCTTTTGTTCTGCAGAGCTGCCTTGAGAGAATGTATCAGTTCTCAGCCATAGGCTTGATAAGCTGCTCTAAATTTCTTATCTCTATTACTTTATTCCCTTGGAGGAAAATAATGTACTGTGCATCAAGCTCAGACATATTGGTAGAACTGCAAGAACTTATCAACACTGCGTAGAACATCAATTAAATACTTCCATAAAAACATTCTTCAGAAATGTTTAATTAGGCAGTAAATGAATATGACTAACCAGTGTATTGCAGTAATAATCTTTAATTGCTTTTGACCTTTTCACACTTACATGTACTACTTTGGTGCACTTCAGTTCATTTAAAAGCTAGCAAACCTCACAGTCAAGTTAACCACTTCCCAACATATGTGGGAAAAAAAAGAAAATAAAGAGTTTTCTTTTTCTCTTGGGGATTTTAGTTTAATAAAAAATGGACACAAAATCTCAGCTTTGCTTCTCATTTCAAAAGTAATGAATATAACTCAGTTAGTCTTTCTGCCTGATATATGGTGGCCACTGTCACATAAATAATCTTATAGTTTAGGGAAATATTCAGTAAATTACTTACTACCTATTCCTAAGCAAAGATGATTATTCCCTCTGATAATGTTTCCTAGTGTATTCTTGTCAGTTCTGAAATTACGTAAGCACAGAGCTCTTCCTCTTGGTCTTTGGCTCCCCTTTCTGATTCCTCATTTGTCAGTCTTCATTTCAGAAATAAGCTGCTCACATCTGAACACTGGGTTTCACAATAATTATATCTGCATCTTCTGGGGGACACTGTCTTGCTAGACTTTTACTGAAAGGGCGGAACTTTCTTTCCAAAGAACAATTCTCTTTCAAAACTTATTACTTCTGTAGCGTTTTGTTGTATATTGCATTGCAGAGCCACATGTAACTTACTGCATCATGTTTACTTACAAACACCCTTCTTGGGTTTCTCCATTTCATTGAGCACCTAATGTGATTGCTTGGGAACTTTAATAAACTGTGTTATGTTTAACTTGTGTTTTTAACAACAACTTTGGCAATTCGTATGGCTAAGAAATGTCATTACTATCCCATTTGCATACCTTTTAATAAAGAGTAACTTAATTCTGATTTCAGTGATTAGTGTGTAGAGGATTATCAAATCACAAGTGTAACTCAGTTTTTCATTCACTACTAATAGGTGCTTGGTATGAAGAGATGATTAACAACAGAAATAAATCAGTTGTTCGAAGTATGAGCTGGAATGCTGATGGACAAAAGATTTGTATTGTATATGAAGATGGAGCTGTGATTGTTGGATCAGTGGATGGTAAAATTTAAGCTCTACTAACTGTTGTGCTATTACACAGCTTTTGTTTGCAGTGTTATATACACAGTGGTCCTGTTTCTCTAGATAAGTACAATTAATAGTTATTTACTAATTGTTGCTTTGAATTTCTGTAGCTGTTTTAGTGTTCACGTTGGTAACTTGCATCCTGTTTTTAATTTTATGGTGTATTTATTAAGTACAAACAATATTCTGTTACAGGCAATCGCATTTGGGGAAAAGACTTGAAAGGTTCCCACCTGTGCCACGTGGCCTGGTCCTCTGATAGCAAAGTTTTACTCTTTGGAATGGCAAATGGAGAAGTTCACATTTATGACAATCAGGGAAATTTTATTGTAAGTTCATACTGGTATAATTAAGGTATTAACTTCAGCAGGCATCAAAGCTTACTTCCTCTTAATTTATTTCATGTTTGTTTGTTTAGTTGGTCGACTTCAGTACTGAGAACTGGACAATGTCTTGTGTACAGAGCTTTTATTCAGGAGTTCTACAGCTTTTAATTATAATTATTTCTTTTTTTTTTTTTTGATAGCTAAATGAATGTCACATCAACTAATGTCTTTTTGCCTTGCAATAGTTACTGAAAATGTGAAAGTAGGAATGGTCATACTAAAGAGATTAAAGGAAGCTCTTCAGAACATCTGAAAATCTTTTATTTTTGAAGATGTTTGTGATAATTGGTCAGATTTAATATTTTTTAGCTATTATTTTTTCTTTCATTATTTGGAGGAACTAATACTGGCTTAAAGGATATTAACTTCTTACAGCTTCTGCTTCTGAAAGTACTAGCTTGCTTTTAGAAATAAGCAGTATTTTATTTTCCTATTGCTCCTATTATTCATTATTACATAAGGAATGTTACGTGCTTTAGAGAAAACCTGGTAGTGAGTGGGAGAATGAAAGGAGATAACTATAGTATATTGTAGCATTCCTACAACCTAGGTTTATTTATTTATTTATTTATTTATGTCTACTTACTGGGACTATTGGAATATGACTGTGACAAAATCCTAAATAGAAATAAAACACTGACTTTAAAAACAAGGTATTTGGGACCATTTTCTTAACTTACAGATTCTTAATATGGCAAATTTTCTCCTCCTTTCCATTGCCTCCCTAAAAAAGTATTTGTTACTCTTCCCATTTTCTTTTCTTTAACCTCTCACTCTGTCTTTCTTTCTTCCCACTGTATGAGTCATGGTGTTTCCAACTGCTACAAATTACTGAAATTCTTTAAATAATTTGTTGTCACTTCCCCCACCATATCAACAATATGTATGGTTTTGCTCTCTCTTCCTCTCCCCCTCTCTCCCACAGCTTACCTGGTATCCCTCTTTGAATTGATCCACGAATACTCTTACCTTTCAGAAAAAGCTCTAACAGGTGTTACCAGGCATTCAGGGCTAATTATTGTGAAAGTTAATTTACCTTAATTGGTGTTCTAATTTGGACACTTATTTTTTTCCACTTACTTTTATATGTTATGCAGCAGACTTATTAAGAAAAGGCTCACAAATGGTTTCTTTTTTAAAAAAACAACAATGTGGCCAGGAATGGTTTGAAATAATTTTTATTTTTTTCAAAGCTCCAGCAGAGTTCCATGTGTTTACACACACACACGTGTGTGTGTGTGGTGGGTTTTTTATGTTGTCGGTTTTCTTTGTTTTTAAGTTATTTTTACAAAGAATGAAAATGCAAACATTGAGGTACTTCTTTGTAGTTAAAAATATGTGTTTTCATATGTCTGATCTGGCTTTGATTATCTAAGGAAGTTTTAAAAATTTTTTTTATTTTTTAAACCCGTGAAATTCTGAGAACTTAAAAATTTTTCTCTGGACAGGAAAACAATTTTGCTTAGACATCTGGTTTTTTTGCAAAGTGTATATGACTTTAATTAATCTTTCTTACCTAGGTGAAAATGAAGCTGAGTTGTTTGGTGAACTTAACTGGGGCATTCAGTATTGCTGGGATACATTGGTATCACGGCACCGAAGGCTACATTGAACCTGACTGTCCTTGCCTTGCTGTCTGTTATGACAATGGAAGATGCCAGATAATGAGGAATGAAAATGACTACAGTAGGTACAAAATGTGGGGTGCGAGTTACTTGAGCTACTCTTGACCCAAAATGTCTACTTATGTTGATATTCTTAATGTTTATTCCTTAAAAACTAGATCCTGTTTTGATTGACACTGGTATGAACGTCGTATGTATTCAGTGGAACCCCTGTGGAAGTGTATTGGCGGTGGCAGGCTCTCTGAAAGGAACTTCTCAAGATGCCAACATTGTGCAGTTCTATACTCCCTTTGGTGAGGTAAAAATATTTGGTATACTCAAACAATGTAAATGTTTTGGTTTTTTTTTAATCTTAGTATATCTTGTCTATATGGTCATTACTGGTGGAGTTTGGATGCCAAAATGCAGGTGTTTAGTGTGTTCAACATGCTCTCTTATCTGGGCTATCCATGTGAATCTGGAAAAAGGACACAGGACCAAGTGCCCTTTTAGAACAGCAAGACAGTGGCCAGCAAGAAAATCCAAGTGCATCTTATAAAACACTAAATGATGGGATACGTGCAGTGTCTGACTTGGAACACCTGACTCAGATACCAGAGCTCAGACTGTGGACAGTAAGTGATTTGGAGCTGAGGCAGCAGTCAAGATGTCAACATCTGTGTATCAAATCCAGAGGTACTTGTCTTTCTGCACTGGCTGTGTACAAGACCTGGACATCTCTAGATTAGGGACTTAAAACACGGCAGTGGAAGATCCCCCTCTATTTGAGAAATGGCATCCGGTGTCAGTAAAAGCAATGGCTCAGAAACCTCACAAAAGTTAAAGTGTTTCTAATCTTCTTCATTTGCCTGTTAGGGATATTGTTTTGTAAGTGTTTTTTATACATTCTGTCTTTTTTATAATATGTTAAATGTTTGATAGTTGAGAGACAAGTTTCCAATATATTTTTGTTTATGGTGCTATTTTTGCCTTGCTGGGTAATTTCAGGTAATTTCCCATTCCCTCCTAGGAATATATCTGGAAATCAGTAAATTGGTGTTATTTATGAGTGTGAGGAAGGTTGTCCCTTGTACAGAGGAAGTATTGGCCAGCTCTGAGCTGTGCTGTGAAAGGGGTTAAGATCCAGCATCATCTGTGGGGATTTCCTTAGCTGACAGTATTTAATGGAACCAAAGACTTTGGCAATAATGTTACATCTCTAGTTGCTCATGTCCTTCAGATTAATTGAAACTAGTGTTCCAGATTTTGTATTTAGTGTTTAGAAGTAAATTCTTTAGGTTTTAGAATTGTTTTGTTCTAGTTCCGATACTTAGATATGAACTTAACTTTTTGGAAGATGGTATTTT